TAATAATCTGTATGACTATTACTTTTTATAACTGTTTATTGTTGTTGCTGTTGTCCATTGTCGTCATCATTCTTTGTTGAAATCAGGTCTCTCTCGTAAATGAGTCCTCGAGGCTCAGTGGGATTTTACCTGTCTAAATAAAAGTTGAATGAAAAAAAAACTGAGAGCTTCGCCTTTTTACTCAGCTCTCTTCACCACGACAGACCGGTACAGCGCCCGCTTCACTGCCGATGCTGCACCTATCTGCCTATCAATCTCACGCTCCATTTTTCCCTCATTCAAGAAAAAGACCGCAAGATACTTGAACTCCTCCACTTGGGGCAGGAACTCCTCCCCGACCCGGAGAAGGCACTCTACCCTTTTCCGGCTCAAGACCATGGCCTCTGATTTGGAGGAACTGATCCTCATCCCGGCCGTGTCACACTCAGCTGCGAACCGCTGCAGCAAAAGCAAAAGAGATAATGAATATGTAAGGATGGTACTTTTCTGTGGCCCGGTTTGTGTCTGTTTCCCTCGTGCTTCCTCATTAGTTTCCATTGTTGCCACCTGTGTCTCGTCCCAGCTGTTTGCCATCATGTCTTGCCTTCTCCCAGTATTTAAGCAGTCCTATTCTGTCTTGTCCTTTGTCGGGTCGTCTTCGTTGGTACTCTCCCTTGGGTCTCCTGAGTCTTGCCCTGAGTCTTTCCCTGAGTCTTCCTGGTCCCTCGAGTTCCCCGTGTCTCTCTTGTCGCCCGAGTTCCCCGTGCCTTGTTCATGTAAGTTTTGCTGCTCCGTCAGCCTGTTTATTTTGTACTTTTATTTACCATTAAAAGCCTATTTTTGTATTTCTGCCGAGTTGAGTCCCTGTTCTGCACTCTGGGTTCGCTCCAAACCGCAAACCATGACAGAATATGTATATGAAATGTTAAAATTACCTTCGAGCGGATTAAAAGTTACAGGAGAGACAAGCAAAGACCTTGTTTTGAATTTGACCTTTATTTGTGACCTTAACCTTAGAACTGGGGAGATGCAAAGTGTATGTGACTCTGTGTCTAGTGATAGTGCAATGGTGCACCATGTTGTGTATGAAGTTTGGTTAAATTATATGAAGAGGATCAGAAGTGATGGGCGGGATAAGAGAAAGTTTACGAACGTACGGAGGGAGACCTTACCATAATAGGTCCGCCTTCAACGGGCGTATATTAAAAAACTATATTGTTTGTTTTGGATGGTTCCAACCCTCAACTTTTTCTGGGCTGGGATTTAAATGGAGCAAAAAAGGTACTAAAGATGTTTGTTTGTCCAGTGATCCATCTCCAGATCATTACATTTCTTTCACTGTTCCATATTTCCTAGTCCTTTTGTGTTAAGATTTTTTTTTGTGTTGCAGTCAGTCAGAGTTGATGGTTTTCAGGAGGTCTGGAAACTACCAGCAGCTTTTCTTAAGAAGATCTAAACTTATATTCAAAGCTAAAGGAAACCTCAACTCCTTTGTATGTGTCAAACAAATCCTACGTTTACAGGAAAATAAACTTTTCACTCCTCTGCTCTTTCAGTGTTTTTTGTCTCTGCTCCGACTTTTTCATTTGAGGCCATACAAACAGATCAGAGACGGAAACACATTAGAGTGATTCACGTCACCTCTGCCTGTTGAACCTGCATCAAAGACAGAAAAGTGAACACTTTCCAGCCAAAACAGAGGTCATCTGGGGATTGTCTTTGCTTGCAGAAATACTTCTCTGTTCTGTGAGTAATCCTAACTCAGGGAACATACCACAACAATTTAAACATCAGTATTCTGTTGTGATTGCACATAGCACACAGTTCCACCTTTTCAAACTGCTAAACAATACGAGTATGGGGAACAACAGAATCTGCGTGGTGGTTAGTGTGTACTAGACTGTGGATTAGATGAAAAGTTAAAAAAAGATAGGTTCTAAAGCAAACGTCAGCTGCAGGTGTATTTGGATCTGGATGGACGCCATTCAATCCACACTTATTAGGACCTGCATCAGGGCCCATTCACAGCAGCTGACAACCCAGCTATGATGTAAAAAAAACACATCAGCCAGAACCTTGTTGGTCTTTACAGGGCCTTGGTCAGTTATTCAGGGGGCATACTAAAAACAAAGAGTGTTCACAGTTCCACATGACAGAGCGTGATAGCTAGTGATTGGTCTTGGAGTGTTTTGAGAATGCACAAACTTCCGTAGGGAGGTTATGGTGGCAGCATATTCATAATGTGGGGCCCGTACAACTTATTGAAGCTTGATCTTTGAGCGTTTGAAACAGGACTGGCCACGCTGGCCTCATGGCTACGATAGTAACAAGGTCATGGAAACAACCTTATGCAGATGCGATACCCATAGAATTGGTTTAGCGTATTGGGATTTACAAGCTGAATCCTGACATGGTTGGAGAGAGGTGTGCCATGGAAGAGCCTGAGGTGGGGTGCAATTTGTGGGTATATGCGGTTGTACTGTTGTGAAGATGCACATTTTGCAGAGTGGGAGCAGGAGGGATGTGCAAAATAGCAGGAATAATCTATTGAGCAAGTATTAAAAGCAGAGCAGCTTTATGACTGCCATCACGTTGCACAGTGTTTTGCAGTATTGTTGCATCCCAGCCACATTGCAACAGGTGGTGTTGTAGAGAGTGTAGTGGTGTTGTTATCCATCAAGAGTGGTTTCAGTGAGCCAAACACCCTAATGACTGACGAGAAGGTGAATGCAGAAGAATCAGCGGTGTGTAGGGGAGGAGCCTCCATGTAGAGGTGTTTCATAAGACATATTCTGTACCGCAGGATCCCAGGTCCCAGCTGTTTGGGTGGAGCTCTTCGAGGCTGTAATAAAAGTCTATATATGAGATGGGAAGACATCCAAACAGATGGTTTTCTTCACACTGATCTGGCTCAGTTTCATTCACATCTGCTTCTCAAGTTAGATATTTGGGAGGGGGGAAAACGGGCTTTCTTTTGTGTAGCACATGATCCATATAAAGTCTGTATATGTACAGTGGCTGTACCTTACAGTGAGACAGTGCTCCAGGAGACTGAGCCTATTCTATGAGCTTCACTTGCACCCGTCACTCCACAGCTCTCACAAATCACATTACTAAATTACTTCCAAACAACACATTTGCTTATTATTCAAACTCAAATCGTAGCATTTCAGGTCAAATTTGAGCTAATTCCTCAGCACTTTACATTAGATAAAAAGGAAAAGTGCTTGCCGAAAGAGAACTCACTAACTGCTGGGCATAAATGCCATGCAGCTGGACTGGTAGCTGCAGAGAGGAGACCGTGTACTAATGGGTGCTAATCTTAGCATGCCATCTAGCGGTGGAAGACGATACGAAAATGAAACAGAAGCTTGGGAAATCCTGACAAATTGACAAACATCACATGACTATGAAAGATAATTAGACGTGGAATATTATTCTGTTTATTTTAACACCATAAAAACTAATTAACACCCAGGCAACATCAAAAACTAGTACATGGGCTCTGGGGGAAAAAAAAAAGGTGCGATCAGAAAGTTTTGCTTGTGTTAATTTATTAGGTCCTTGTTTTCCGAGGAAAGTAAAGTCATTTTCCACAGCACAAATTTATTCACCCCAATCTGAATCTCATTGATTTCATGCTCTATTCAGCTGGAACGCAAAGGATGCCGACTCAGCAGAGAACTCGACAGGGTTTTTTTTAAGGAAAGCGCACAGCACAATGAAGATTAATGCGGTGCAAACGTATAAAGAACTGAACGTCTATTACTCAGTAGTTTTTAATAAAACTTGGGGCCTCCATGGGCTCTGCTCAGTATATTTAGCTGCAGCCACTCAAAACTTCCGCAGGTACAGTTAGATGTAGAGCAGCTGGTAAAACATCCAAACACACTTTCATATTAAACGCAGTTGAATACTTACCTGTCTTCAGATGATGTGATATCAAATAGGTTCTCTGAAGGTTCTTTTAATGAATACATGGCATAGAAAGAGTCCATTTAGTGGGCTGGCAAGGGGGAGGCACCTTACCACACCACGTAAACAAACTTATTATCTCGACAGTGGGATTTTTTTGGCCAAAGAGATGGGTCGATAGCTAAGAGGGCCCAGAGAAAGTGAATTACCTTCCTGACACACGTCAAAGCCAATCACTATCAAGCATCCTTTTCTGTTCTCGCGCCCCAAATCCCTGCCGCCACCGTTGCGTTTCATCTGCCAGTGTTAGTATGCACACAGGCCGCGCGCCAGCCTCTAAATGTATTCATTTATTCAGAGCCCCTCAGAGAAATCACAGTGTCTTGTTGTCCTTTTTTCCCCTCTTCCTCAGCTGTCCAGATGGAATTTGCGTGAATAACATCAGTTTAGTGAGGCAGAAAATAAGTACAGGGCTAGCGCAGCAGAGGGGACCAGATTACACCCCCCATCCGACTCCCCTCCGAAAAAAAAAGGCAAGTGTCACCTTCTACTTCTTTTCCAGTTCTATTGAAACTTGGCAGGTGGAGACAAATCTCAAGCAAAGAGTTCACGACAGCTGTTTTGTTTATCAGGTGCAATTAAACTGAGACTCATGACAAAGAGCTGCAGCAGCTTTTATATAAAAGAAAAGGTGAGCAGCCATTAAGGGAGTGGGGCTCATCCTTCTTTTGTTTCGCATTTATAACAACTAATTGCAATATTCTTTTTTTTTATTTTTTCAGACGTTCCTTTAAAAGAGGCATGCACAATCTCGAAGAGGTAATTGACTGGGATGAAAACGAAGGGGAAAAATTGCAAATCAATACTTCCAACTTCAATACAGCCCGAGAGAAATTAAAACGACTTCAGTCACAAGAGCAGAAGGACTTCATTTACATCATACACAATAAAACAATCACTGCACAGCGCTTGAGCAACTGTCTTCAGCATAGAATTAATTTAAACTTTAGACAAACCTAAAACTGGACTTTTCCAAAGACAAACTGTAGAGTTTAGATTTAATCCGTCATTAGAGAATCACAGACAAATAAGTGACTAACTCCTACCTCTCTGAGAACTGTACTGAAGTATCCTCTGTAGAGACCTCGGACACCCTGCATAAAGACAATAACACACACACATTTAACAAACACACACTTAACTTTATCCAAAATTATTGAGTTTAAAAAAAACATTAAGACAGGGCTATTCATCTGGTGGCCCGGGGGCCAAATCAGGGACACAAGTGAGCTCAGTTTGGAGCACGAGTGGGTTCATTTTTAAATAAAACTAGATTTTAAACCATAAAACAAACTTACTTGATGACAAATAACTGCTGGATGTCCAGTCCCTGAGCACTTGGCTTTCAGTAACTGTGGCGCCCTGAGCAATTTACTTGAATAGCCCTACATTAAGATTTATTTCATATACCAATTAGTAGGCCTGTCACAATAAACAATAAATCAATTAATCGCATGATAAATGAAAATTATCTACGTCATTTTAATTTATCGGCTTTATCGTTTCTTTGTCGCTCTCTTTCTACTGAAGACACTGGATGACAAAAGGTTCAACTCCGGTGCTCTTCACTGACCCCTCCCTTTCTCTTTTCTCTAGAAAATCCATTTTAACCGTCCAAAATTGCGTTTTTGGATCGTTGAAAGCAGCTAAGCTGAGAAGCTACACTACGAGCTAAGCTAGCAGACCGACCTCAGGAAAAAAACCTCCGTCTTGTCGAAGCTCCAAAATTCACGGTTGAAACCTGTGCTTTCGTGTAAAAAGATTTTGCTCTGGAAAAAAGAAGCTGAGAACTTGTTTACTGATTTTTTATTAAAAGTTTTGTGTGAAAAATTCTATGCTAAAGAGCTCAAACCACACCGAGCGTCCATCATTTTGAAAACTGATTAAAAAAAAAAAAAAAGGAGAGAGCCCATGTCATATCAAGGGTTCTCCCTCCCATTTATCTTAAAGAGACACTGCGCTCCCTCATTATCCATCCTTTGGTTCAAACTGTCTTATTCTGCCATCTAGTGGTCAGAAAAAGGTACTACACACAAAATTAATCAGCATTTCTTCTTAAATTTGACAATAATTACTAATTATTGTCAAATTTAAAACAATATTATCGTTTATCGCAATAATTTTTAAGACAATTAATTGCCCAGCAAAATTTGTTATCGTGACAGGCCTACCAATTAGCCACACAAAAAACAGTGTAGGTTCCCCTGATGCAGACTAAACAGCTTTCACATGTCAGGAGACAAACATGTCGCCTTCTGTTTTCTTGTGATGGATCCCACGGGCCCAGTTGGCCCCTGAGTGGGGCTTCAGGGGATCTGGTTGACCTTTGCACATTTTACAGATACACCACCAACTTTGTATCTGAGGAGTTAAAAACTAATGAGTTAAAAACTAAGTCAACTTTGTGGCTTTTTTTGTGTTCCTCAAAGTCTTCGCAAGGTGTTTTGTGGGGTCATTGGGGAGTGCCACTGCAATGAAGGATCTGCATGTAATGTATGTCAAAGTAACCTCCACAAGAATGTCAGAAAGCAGCTTTTCTTGGCAGGACATTGCAGTGTTGACAAGAAAATATTTTTATTCATTTTCCATGTCAGTAGCTTTAATAGGTCAAGGTTCTTTATTGTCATTCGCACCACATGTGGTGCATGTGGTGGAACAAAATTGTGTACACAGGGTCCCAGTTACATCAAACAAAAATACAAATTGTAAAGAAAAACAGTAGTAGTATCTAAGATATGAACTAAAAAATACGCTAAACTAAGAATACACTAAGCACTAATAGTACAAAATAACATTTTAGAAATACAAACTGTACAAATAAATTAATGTTTACCTTTTATTTGTATTTAGCCTTCAAAGAAATTTTAAATCACCGTCAAATAAACATAAAACTCTCAACTTTGTTAATATTAATAACTTTAACTATAAACAACAACATAAGCTTATTATGTTATTCTTATTGATTTAAACAAAGGTGCTTCAGCCAGGCTAAAAAATAAAAGTGCTCAGAATTGCTGCAATAAACAGAAAAAAAAAAACCAAGTGAGCAACAACAAACACAAACCTAGTTACGTCTTTATAGCGTTTGGAGTACGTGTCATAAGGCATGAATACAGCGATGTGCGTTTGCTGCATGGGCTTCTTTTGACATGGCTGGGGGTGTTGTTTCAGGGACATGGCTATCAGTCTAGTTCTGGAGGCTACAAAATCATGGGGAAGACTGCTGACTTGACACTTCTCCAAAAGACAACCATTGACACCTTGCACAAGGAGGGCAAGACACAAAAGGTCATTGTTAAAGAGGCTGGCTGTTCACAGAGCTCTGTGTCCAAGCACATTAATAGAAAGGTGAAAGGAAGGAAAAGATGTGGTAGAAAAAGTGTACAAGCAATAGAGATAACTGTACCCTGGAGAGGATGGTGAAACAAAACCCATTCGAAAATGTGGGGGAGATTCACAAAAAGTGGACTGCAGATGAAGTCAGTGCTTGAAGAACCACCATGCTCAGAAATATAAAAGACAAGAGGTTCAGCTGTCACATTCCTTGTGTCAAGCCACTCTTGAACAAGAGACAGCATCAGAAGTGTCTCGCTTGGAACTGCTGCTGAGTGGTCCAAAGTTATGTTCTCTGATGAAAGTAAATTTTGCATTTCCTTTGGAAATCAAGGTCCCAGAGTCTGGAGGAAGAGAGGAGAGGCACAAAATCCATGTTGCTTGAAGTCCAGTGTCAAGTTTCCACAGTCAGTGATGGTTTGGGGTGCCATGTCATCTGCTGGTGTTGGTCCAGTGTTTTCTGAGATTTAAGGTCAACGTAGCCATCTACCAGGAAGTTTTAGAGCACTTCATGCTTCCTGCTGCTGACCAACTTTATGGAGATGCAGATTTCATTTTCCAGCAGGACTTGGCACCTGCACACAGTGCCAAATCTACCAGTACCTGGTTGAAGGACCATGGTATCCATCCATCCATCCATCCATCCATCCATTTTCTTTACCCGCTTATTCCATTTTGGGTCACGGGGGTCGCTGGTGCCCATGTCCAGCAGTCACTGTGCGAGGGGCGAGGTACACCCTGGACAGGTCGCAAGTCCATCACAGGGACACATAGAGACAAATGAGACAAACAACCATTCACACTTTCACTCACACCTAGGGACAATTTAGAGTTACCAATCAGCCTAACATGCATGTTTTTTGTCTGTGGGAGGAAACCGGAGCACCCGGAGAAAACCCATGCATGCACGGAGAGAACATGCAAACTCCACCCAGGAGGCCCCTGGACCGGGGTTTGAACAAAGGACCTGCTCGCTGAGAGGCAGCAGCTCTACCAGTTGCGCCACCGTGCTGCCCATTGAAATAGATCAGTCTGTGTGTAATGAATGAATATAATATACAAGTTTCACTTTTTGAATGGAATTACTGAAATAAATCAACTTTTTCATCATATTCTAATTTTATGACCAGCACTAGTATTCCCATGATTACACCACGAGGTCCTGCCCTTGCAAGAATGCAGGTACGCACTAGAAGATCAAGCCACACTAGTACAACACTGATGACTGTTGTGACAAATGGTTGCAGAGACAGGATGACTCAGCTTGTTGATTTGTATCCATTTAATACAAAAAAAAATGTCAAACAGAAAATCCCGGGGAAAAAACAATTCCAAGCATCAGAATCTATCTAACCTAAGAATATCAGAGAGCAACTTTTTGAATGAAGCTTATCAATGAGACATAACAAGGCCAGCGGTCTCACCACAACTGGAAATCTGCATCACTCTGAGAGCAATATGAGTTGGTGGCCAAACGTGAACAGACATGTGTTATACATGACAATTCTGTTGCCTCAGTAAACCTTTTTTATCCTGAACAGTAGTGTGACGGGGTCATAGCCTAAGCATGAAGCCAGCGTGTCAGTACAGCTTCAAATTCTGGCCAGCCAAGCCATGTCAGCGCATAAAGGCCCCAACGTCATAAATCAACTGCCACTACGTGATCAAAAACCACCACTACTGCCTTACTACAAAAGTTTTGTGTATTTTTAACATCATTGTATACCTGTCATGATCTATCACACAAATAGTAGAGGCCATTTTCTGTTCTGGCTAAAATTTAACATGATAGTGTAGTTGCCATCTGGTATAAAGGGGGCCTTGCCTCCACTCTTTTTTTAAACCTTATCAATGCAAGTCTTTCTCATACACGCACCTAGGTCTGGCAAGACAACTTTCTAAAATGAACAATTTGACATTCACACTTAATGACTGAATGGACGTAACACTAACTTTTTTGTACTTTGGTGAGCACCGCAATAATACCAAAGTTCTGATGAACAAAATACCATATTTTCCAGCCTATAACTCACAGTTTTTGCATAATTTGCATGCCCTGAAACTTATACACCGAAGCGACATATTTATGTTTTTTCCCCATATTTATAAAACAATTTTTGGCTGAGATATGACCGTTTTCATTCATTCTGACATTGAAAATATTGAACAGTACCATTTTCAGCCACTAGATGGCACTCAAGTAGTAAGGCATGTTGTTGTGTCATGTAATACATAAAAGTGACTATTAATGACACAATTGGCTTGCCATAGCCTGCCACATTCGTCCAGCCCGCCTGGAGCAACCGTCGAATCAGCTTCATTTCTCTGCGCCGCCCCGGAGACATGAAGCTAATTTGACCATTGAAGTGCATTTATTAAGTAAAAGTTCAACTGAGATACACCTTTATTATAAAGTCGAGCAAACAACTGTTTTTAGGTGATTATCTTGTTAAATTTCAAAGAAATACATAGCGAGTCGTCCCTCTGTGCGCTCCCACTTCTGCAAATTGGCTTTTGAAATACAGCTGATATGACCATTAAAGTGCATTTATTAAAGAAAAGTTAGACTGAGAGACACCTTTGCTATAATTTCGACCAAACAAATAATTGTTTTTAAGTGTTAATTTTGTTAAATTCTTGTTCAAGTCCTCCCATGTATGCTACCGCGGCCACCATTTGGCAGCCAATAGATTTTTGGCACAACACCGGCCCACATTTCCGAGTTGTCAGCAGTGACGCGTAACAGACGTGACGTATATGGCGAAGCAACCTATTTATGTTTTTTTTCCACTTCATTAGACATATTTGGACTGATTCGACTTATACGGCAATGGAACGTGGACGGTGGAAAATACAGTAACCAAAAATAATTAATGAACCGACAGTATCATATAGAAACACTTTAGTGGTCAGATACCTCTTCTTTAAGTGTAGCCAGCAGTATGTTGTAGGTGGTAGACCAGGGAGAGGCTTGAGTTCTCTGTTTGACCACTTCTGTGGGCACTCGGATCAAGCACGCCACCTGTAAGAGGTCAACAGAAAAAGGATGTTTTTATAGTTTGTATCAAATATTCATTTACAGATGAAAGTTTTGTGTTAGACGAGACACCATTTCTGTGTCTTCTTGATGTGATAAAACAGACTGTGAGCATTTACGGCACGGCAGGTGACCGTGATCTGGTATGAGGAGTGCAATTACACGTAACTGGCAGAATTACAACTGCTTCAGTCAGTGTGCAACTCAGCCAATTAACAATCAGGCGACATGACACAGGTGCAACGGTTGTCATGTCTGCAAGAGGTCATCAGGCAGACCATGTATCTATGTCTAAAGAACATGCTTCTGTCAAACACACTGATGGATTTAGACGTGGGTGCACACCTCAGTAACCACACTCACTGCTCAAGTTCCAATCCATCTGCCATATGTCAACAAAAATATGGACTGCCAACAGCTAGTGAAGATAGATATGAATATGTATGCTTCCTAAAGGCAGACAGGCAGGCACAGCTGCCCACCTGGTGACTTGATTTCCCATTTATCCTGCCTCAGAGTGGAAATACCAGCTAACGACAAGCAATCTTACAGCGCGATTGGTGAGCCGCCCTCCCCCCGAGACGTGCAGAGGCCTGTCTGCTGGTGCCACCCTCGCCACTGCAATGTCTAGTAGAGAGGAATGAAAAGAGTGATGAAATGAAATGCATCTTTTTTTGCCCCTGTTGTTCCTTCTCATTTAACAGCATCCGGGCCTCAGCACAAAGTTTTGGCAATAGGGGAAAAAAAGGATACAGTCTCCAACAGCTGTTAGAGAGGTGATTTTAGATGGCTACTTCTAGTCATTTCCAGAGACTGATACAAAAATACTGAGTAGGTATGTGTGATACACAAATAGTATATTGTAAGAATTTTGCTGTAGCCACAAAATATTATGATCACTAGGTTTTATTCACTTCTCAACTTAGTGTTGACCTTCATTGCATCACTTTTTCTGTGGAATGATTAACAATCTCTCTAAGTTTAACACAAAACAAAAAGAAAAACATCCATGTTTGTACATGAGCAAAAGCAAATGCATCAAATAAGCCTTTACAACAAATTCTGTATCTTTCCTATTGGTTTTTTTAATAGGTATGAACGTTGACGGTATGAACTAACCACGGTGCAACACTGTCACCCAGTGGTGAAACCTGCACCCACACGACTATCCAATCAGAGAAAACAATTCAATTCTGAGATCTTATTTGCCTTCCTCTTTGGCCAAATTACCATTCGTAACACATTTTGCATCTTCTTTATCAAACCAATTTTCTGAAAAGGAACAATAATCAGACTGTTACGCAAAACAAAAGTGGCAATAACAAATAATCACAGACATCGTTTTCTAGGGGACTTGAAGTGGAGTTTGTCATTTATGAAGCAGGAAAACAGCAATAAAAAATGCATCAGAGTTTTGCTCATCTGGTTGTGGTTTGAATGCCTGCCAGTGATCAGAAGGGCAATGAAGGAAGATTAAATGTGTGGAAGTTATTTTAGAAATGTACACAAGGCATCAAATGATGAAAAACGTGCGGCACGGTGGCGCAGTTGGTAGAGCTGCCGCCTCTTAGTGAACAGGTTGGCTGTCCAATTCCCAGCTGGGGGTTGTTCTGGGTGGACTTTGCATGTTCTCTCCATCCATGCGTGGGTTTTCTTCGGGTACTCTGGTTTCCTCCCACAGACCAACAACATGCATGTTAGACTGATTGGTAACTCTAAATTGTCCCTAGTGTGAGTGAGACAGTGAATGGTTGTTTGTCTCTGTGTGTCCCTGTGAGGGACTGGAGACCTGTCCAGGGTGTCCCCCACCTCTCACATGGTGACTGCTGGATATGGGCACCAGTGACCCCTGTGCTCCAAAAAGGAAGTGGGTAAAGATAATGGATGGATTGATGATGGAAAATGAGATCAAAAGCTAAGAAAACAAAATGTTACAGAGGAGCAGTAAATCCAAACAATATAGTTGTAAAAGTAAAATAAAAACAACATTTATTAAAAGAAATAAGAAAGAAACTGTGTAGAACCTGTTTGATTGATCAGTCTGACAAAATTCAGGCAGATTTTTGCCCTATTGAAAAAATTTGAATGACAACAGTAGATCATACCAAGCTATTGTAGGCACATGTGGACAGAGCAGTGTGGTTACACTCAATCCACTTCCTGTTTTTGGTTCTTTTTAGTATAATATTAGCATACCCCCACAAGAAATTAACCAGAATAATAAAGCAACTCTTGAAAGAACAATGTTATATTATCCTGGGAAATGGCAGCACTTTCAATCTTATCTTTCAGACACTTTCATATTAGAGTTGCATCAGGGCCTCAAAAAGAAGAGTGGTTTTAAGGTACATTAAACAGAAAAAGTTACTTTTAGAGAAGGAATATGGATAACTTTACATGTGAAACTATACCAAGAATTCAATAAATTATAGTGCAGGAAAGAAAGCATACTGATCAAATCTGCATCTGGCTGTAGATATATTTTTCTTTTTTAAGGTTACTATATTGTAATGTGTATGAATATTAAACTGTTCTATTTCTGAACCAAGAAAATTTTATTATTTTATCACTTAAATAGCTTCACTCTTAACACCTTTTCCTCTGGTTTGTCAGTTTATTATGAACCTGCAGGAAGTCTTCAAGTTTATGCAAAAAAATCTGCACTCATCAGGAAGCCTTTATTAAAAAGGTGCCAGTTACAAAAAAGTAGTTTGCAACTGCCTGTTGTTATTAATGACAGAGCCGATTTTCATTTTCAGGACTGGCAAGCAACTAGTTAAGCAGCTGTCAATCAATAATCAGCGAGCCACAGGAAGGAAAAGGAAATGAGCAGACTCGCAGCACATTATCAGCATAAATTAGTAAACCAATCTACTGACCAAGTCATTGAATCTCTCCATATGCTTTTTATTTGACCATCCTTTTTTTTCCCTAATGGCTTATTGTCATCAGAAGACCATAAGAAACAGATCGGCCATTTGTTTTGGACCTTAACTTAATGGATTTTTGTCTTTTAACAAACTTAAGGACCCATTTAAAACTGCCACAGTCACATATGTGGAGTAAGTGCAGAACAAGAACCCATATCTTAAGACTAGCTATTCAAAAACCAACAAATTGACATAGGATTATTATTATTATTAGAATCTATTATAAGGACTGATTGTACATTTAATCCTTGGAACTCATAGTGACAACAGAAAAAATGGTAAAATGAGGGAAGAAGAAGGCCGGAGGAGAAGGAGAAAAAAGGTCAAGAAGAAAAGGGGATAAGATGAGGACACAGCAAGTGTCCAACTCTGAAACAACAGCCAATAAATCACAGAGCGTGGAGCTGCTCAAAGGCGATGCATGGATTATTTCTCAGTGCCAAGTTAAGTGGTTGCCAGTTTCACCCACCCCACCCCCACACACACACACACACACACACATAAAAACTCCTCCCCTGTGCTCCCTCCTTCTCACTGTCCCCTATCTTGTCATGTCACACTGTATTGTGCTGAACATCCTCCCGCAGACATGCGGTGGAGAAAAAGGGGGGTTGCAGATGCGAGAAAAAGCCCGCTGCCTGGCCTTGACAAATGAGCTTTCAGGGCAGACGTCAAGTGAATGGGAATGAAGATAAATCTGATCTAATGGCTAGATAACAGCCTGCAAGAGGCTGACAGTCGCCATCAGCTTACACATTCTTTATAGGAGCGTCCCACATCTGCAGTCGCACCAGCACCGGGACACTTCTGGAAGAAGGAGGTAGAGGGGAAGAATTTCTCTTGTTGTCCCGACCATCGCAACTTATTTTTCTCTACGACTTCTGACTGCCATTGGCTCTGTTTTCTCTCTCTTTCTGTTCTGCTTTTGTTGACAAGTGAATTTGCGCACTTAGTAGGCTCATAATGAGCAGGATAGGATAAGTCGCATAAAAACTATTCAGGGGTACTGGAGAAGTGAGTCCGATCGTTGGTCGAACCTCAGATCCAGGGGGAACAATGCAGGTCCCATCCTGGTCGTGGAACACTGGACTAGTTCTTTACCTTCACTAGGGTCCTCGAGGGGTCATGGGAGTTTGCCCATCCAGTCTACATGTGTTTTGTGGACTTGGAGAAGGTGTTCGACCGTGTTCCTCGGGGTACACTGTGTGTGTGTGTGTGTGTGTGTGTGGGGGGGGGGGGGGGGTTGCTCCATGAGTATGGGATTGGCGGTTCATTGCTACGGGCAGGGTGAGAAGTTCAGTTATCAGGAGAGACTGGGAGTAGAACTGCTGCTTCTCCACATCAAGAGGAGCCAGATGAGGTTGTTTGGGCATCTGGTAAAGATGCTACCTGAGCGCCTCCCTAGGAAGGTGCTTCGGGCATGTCCAACCCCGGGAAAGACCCATAATACGCAGGAGAGACTGTATCTCGGTTGGCCTGAGAACACCTTGGGGTCTTCCCAGAAGATCTGGAAGAGGTGGCTGTGGAAAGAGATGTCTGGGCCTCCCTGCTCAAGCTGCTGCCCATGTGACCCGACTTTGGAACAAGCAGAAGATAATGGATGGATGGAACACTGGATTATTGCTTTTTTAGTGTTTATTGTGGCATTGTCAATGATAATACTGAAGTACTATTTTGTTACCGGTTCTTTTCTTCACATTAGTATATTGTGGTTCAAAATGTGCCTCTTAGTGGAGAATAAAGAACTACAGCTTTAAAAAAGGTAAAAAGCAATAAAGCTCAAGGGTTAGAGAGATTCACTTCTGAAACAGCTTGTGTCACCAGCTGGTGATTCTGTAAACATCTGCCAGCTCACGTTGAGTTGTGGTTCCTCACTTGCTACAACAGATGAGTTTTGCTGTGGTTTGTTTGTTCAGCTCACTCCCTTCTGACTAAACAGATGCAATATTATTTTTACTTGGGGTAGATGATTGAAAAATTTAAGGTTTAATCAAACAACTTAAGAGTGCCCCCAACCACTAAATTAGTGCACATACAGACCAGAAATAGGTTAGTAAATAACTTGACTTGCATGGAGTAAGCACATCTAGAACACCACCAGAAGACTTTATTGGTGCATCATGAATAGAGCGTCAGTGTTGTCAGGTAGTTGCTGGAATGTCTGATAGGGAGTAAAAGTAGACAC